TCACCTGGTGAGTCCCCAAACATTCCATGTCACCTGGTGAGTCCCCTTGGGAACACCTCCTGCTCTGGTTTGAGGCCACATTCCCTGGGTGCTGTGAGGACTCGGGTTCCTCCCCCTGGGGTCACTTTGGGCCAGAGGTTTCTCCTCCTTGCTCAGCTGGGGAGGGGAAGTTCTGAGGTTTCTCCAGGGAGCTTTCCCTGCTCAGAGCAAGGTTGGGGATTTCCCTCAGGCTCTGTGGAATCCAAGAAGGGAAAGGGATGAGTCACAAGCCAGGAATGTTCCTTCCCCAGCAGAGCACATGCAGGAGCATCCTGTCTGCACGGTGTGATTTTAAAAGTTGATACCCTCAAGTACCCTCAGAGCCTGAAAACAACATTCCCCATCAGCAGAACGGGGGGATTCCCTGGTTTACATGGATTCTTGGCTCCTGAGATATATTTGTTGGAATTATTACCCATCTCCCAGGCCTCCCTTCAGAAAAAACCAAAACCTGCAAGAGAAACTGGTAGAAAAATATTGACAGTTTCAAAGATCTCGATGTGAATTAAAACAAGATGAACTTTTGTTTTCTGGCCAAGCAGAACGGGGAACTTCCAGACCCTGCCCTGGGTGTCCTGAATTATTCTTTGCCCTTTTTGGTGGTGTTGGCTGTCCCAGTTCTCTTTATCCTCCTGCTGACCTCCTGTGTTTCAGTGCACAGATGGCTGGGCTCCTGTGTGAAGAGGAAGTCCTAGAAGTCGACAATGTCAAATATTGTGGCTACTGCAAGTACCACTTCAATAAAATGGTGAGTTTTTCTTCCTCTCTGCGATGGAATTTCATTTTTTTTTTAGTCACATAAAAGGCATTGGCTCCATCTTTTAGGTTGGGTCTGTGCTCAGAGCAGTGAGACATGCCAAGAAAACACGAGCAAGGCTGCAGCCAGCTTCCCCTTTCAGCCACTCACTCTGAGTTACTCCATAATTGAGATTAATTAGCAGTTTTGCGTTTCTGTAGCATCTTTAAAGGCGTTTTCCAAACTAAGGGTTGAATTGTTTGAATTTTTCCCATCTGTTTTGGCTTCCCTGACCTGCTCTGTGTCCTGAGGAAGCAGAGCAGCCCTGGTATTTGATGCTCCAGGGTTTGATGCTCCAGGGAATCAGGGGTGTAGCTCAGGCACCCTCAGCACGAGGGCAACACAGAACAACCAGAGCTTCTCCCTCAGGACAGAGCCAGCCCAGAAGGATGTGGAGTCACTCAGATTTTAGGGATATTTAGGGCAGAGGATTTCTCCCGTTAATTACAGCGTGAGAGGGAAGAGAGGAACCCTTCTCCTGTTCTGCATCATGAGCAGACACCTTCTCTCCCCCCTCCAGCTAAAAGGAACCTTCATCCTCTCCCTGCAGCTCCATCCCAGAGGCTCCTTTGCCACTGGCCTTTCCCACTTCCCTTCCTGCTTGTCAGCACTGTCACATCCAGTGAGGGATGTCCCTCAAATCCACCTGGAGGGCACATCTCCTGCCCCTGGGTACCCGTGTCTGGCCCAAGTGTGGCTCTTTGTCAGGTTTCCTGGTGGTCACACAGCCAGCAGGACCTGTGGGGGGTTCCTGGGGTTGGCAAACA